GGTTTCGTGGTCCGATTGGCCAAATAAATTGTTTTCAATTAATTAATCTTTAATTAAGGTTTTGGTTGAGATAAAAAAGTCAACGTCACGAGCGGGATTCGAACCCACGATCTTCGGCTAGATACGCCCCTGCTCTAACCACTTGAGCTATCGTGACCTCGATCCACTCGGACACTAACTTCCCATCTCAACCACACCTTTCGAATTTTCCTTCCTTTTTGCCATTTGTCAAATATCGTGTAATCTATTTGATTCTCGGCGACAAATGAAATGGCCACGGAGAAAAATTGCGTTCTCATTCTCATCATCAAAATTATAAGCCACTTCCTGTATAAAAAGAAACGTGAAATTTGGTACAAAGTTAAGTCTTATATTGTACAAAAGGTAAGAATGAGAAAATTTCAATTTTCTCAAATTAGGGTCGCTTTAGGGGTGGTTGGATGGGGGGATTCTTATAAATATGGGGTATAAACATTATAAGCCACTTCCTGCATAAAAAGAAACGTGAAATTTGGTACAAAGTTAGGTCTTATATTGTACAAAAGGTAAGAATGCGAAAATTGCAATTTTGTCAAATTAGGGTATCTTTAGGGGTGGTTGGATGGGGAGATTCTTATAAATATGGGGTATAAACATTATAAGCCACTTCCTGTATAAAAAGAAACATGAAATTTGGTACAAAGTTAGGTCTTATATTGTAAAAAAGGTAAGAATGAGAAAATTGCAATTTGTTCAAATTAGGTCGCTTTAGGGGTGGATGGATGGGGGTATTCTTATAAATATAGTGTATAAACACTATAAGCAACTTATTCAATTCACTAGTTTCGTGGTCCGCTTGACCAATTAATATCTTACAATTAATTAAGGTTTTCAGTTGAGATAAAAACACATTGATTACACATTTGAAAAATGGCTAAAAGGAGGGAAAATTAAAAAGGTGTGGTTGAGATGGGAAGTTGGTGTCCGAGTGGATCGAAGTCACGATAGCTCAAGTGGTAGAGCAGCGGCGAATCAAGCCGAAGGTCGTGGGTTCGAATCCCCTCTCGTGCCATTGACTTTTTTATCTCAACTGAAAACCTTAATTAATTGTAATATTATAAGCAACTTTCTGTACACGTAGAAATGTGTTATTTGGTACAAAGGTAGGTTTTATGTTGAAGTAAAGGGAAAAATCTGAAAAGCAAGTTTCTTAAAATTTGTGCCTCTTTAAGAAGGAGAGATGGTTCCAAAGCGTGAAGTCACTCGCATCCACCGATTTAAAAAAAATTAACTTTCGTTACAACGTTTCACGTTCAAATTTTTGTGATTAAACGTGCGGTTTTGCTGGCCCAAACGGCCCCAGGAAGTGAACGATTTTTTTTTTGTAAATCGAATTCGATGAAAACGAAAAGTATAAAGAATAAATTTTAGACACGTCTATGGTTTGTGTCAGCTGATTAATGTAAAATATGTACTTATTAAGAAATATACAAAAAAATATATAAAAACACGTGAAACGCTCAAGAGGCCAATCTCCCAGTTCCTCAACACAGATCCAAACGAACTTATAAGTGAAAATCTACGACATGCTTAATCGCTCCAGGACCTCGAATAAAACCAAGAGGTTTTTCTCCTCATTCAGAAACTGGCGATGAGATAACCATTAAAAATAAAAGAACTTCGCTGCTCATAAAAGTAGGAGTGATGCGAGATAATGTATCACTACTTGGATAGGATGACTCTTTGGGAGGCAGTCTTGAACTTTTATCGTTTCTTTTAAGTTCTCTCTGGTTATGGACTGAAAAAAGAAAGAACTTGGCCGCAGTGTAGAGTTTATTACATTGATAGGCTAATTTTTTTGGATGAGGCCGGGAACTTGGCCCTTTTGTCACGGTTAGGGTTTTATTGGGATACATGTTATATTTATAGAGTGTGAAATATTAAAAACAGCCATCAAAAAGTTATCTACCTTAAATAATCTCTTTTACAGAGAATGAGATTTGCTTTTGTATAAAGAGTCGAACCCACTTCTCCGAGGCGGCAGTCGCAGCATCCACATTTCAGACAGTCCTCGTGCCAAAACATGTCTAATGCTTTAAGTAAATATCTGAAAAAGAATAAAAAATATTTAACTTTATATTTATTTAATCTACAAATTCCAGTCCTTAATACTGACCATTCGATATTGCTAGGGGTAATTGAAGAAATTCCCTATTATTCAAGCTAATAAACTACATGCGAAGACCAGAATTCATTCCCACTACTGCGGAGTTCTCGTTATTCCTCTGAGAAATTGGTTATAAAAACCTCCATTCACGCTAATAAATTACAGTCACACTTTCATTCACACTACCTCGTGTTTAGGATTTCCCTACTCTCTACTCGTTACTCTAAATTCCTTGGGGTAATTGATTATATGCCTTTGCCATTCACGCTAATAAATTACATGTACTCCCCAGAATTCGTTCATACTGCCTCAGAGTTCTCGATAGTACTCAAGATAATTGGGGATAAGCTTCTCCATTCACGCTAATAAATTATATTCGCATACCAGATTTCGTACACTCTTCCAGAATGCTCTATATTCCTTGAGTTAATTGAGGAAATTCTCTACCATTCAAGCTAATAAACTACAGGTACACACCAGAATTTCTTCGCGCTGCCACGGAGTTCTTGATATTCCTCGGGGTAATTTGGAATAAACTCTTCCAATCACGCTAAAAAATTACAGTCACACATTCATTCACACTACCTCGTGTTTAGGATTTCCTTACTCTCTACTCGTTACTCTAAATTCCTTGGCGAAATTGAGTATATGCCTTTGCCATTCACGCTAATAAATTACAAGTACACACCAGAAATTACTTACGCTGCCTCAGAGTTCTCGATAGTCCTCGGTGGAATTAGGGATAATCTTCTCCATTCACGCTAATAAATTACATTCGCATACCAGATTTCGTTCACACTATTCCAGAATGCTCTATATTCCTTAAGTTAATTGAGGAAATTAAGCTAATAATCTGCATGTACAACTGCCACGGAGTTCGTTATATCTCCCAGGGTAATTTGGAATAAACTTCTCCAATCGCGCTAATAAATTGCATTCACCCACCAGATTTCGTTTAGATTATTCCAGAGTGCTCGATATTCCTTGGGGTAATTAAAGAAATGCCCTACCTTTCAAGCTAACTACATGCACACACCTTATTCCTCGGAGAAATTGGGAATAAAAACCTCCATTCACGCTAATAAATTACATCATACATTCATTAACACTACTTAATGTTTAGGATTTCCTTACTCCTACTCGTTACTCTAAATTCCTCGGGGTAATTGAGTATATGCCTTTGCCATTCACGCTAATAAATTACATCACACATGCATTCACACAACTCCCGTGAATCCGATATTCCTCGTGTTGAAAATGTTTTATCATTCATGTGAAAGATTATTCGGAGACCGTGAGATGCGGTCTGGTGTGACGTAGGTTTTACAAAAACATTTTCTTTATCGTGCCAACGTTTCGGTCTTTATTGATATCATCTTCAGTGCCTTGTGTTGTCTGCATTTCAACAAAAAAGGTCCTCTGATTGATGGCCGATGCAAGTTTCTTTTCATTGTTGGCGATGTCCTTCAGAATATTCTTTGCTTGGTGTCAATATGTAGTTGAAATCTGCTCATAGAATCCCATGTTCGTATCGGAATTTTTTTTTTTGGCGTTATGATCTATGCATATTAGCCATGGTGACGAATTCTTATGTATGTTCAAATTGGGGGGGTTTTCGCGAAAAAAGGGCCAGAGGCGACGGTGGGAATCGAACCCACGACCGCGGCGTGAGAGTCTCTCATGCTAACCACTCGGCTACCGCGGTCCCCTAGTGTTTTTGTTGAAATGCGAACAACACAACGCCCTGAAGATGATCTCAATAAAGATCGAAACGTTGGCACGATAAAGAAAATGTTTTTCTAAAACCTACTTCACACCAGACCGCATCTCACGATCTCCGAACAATCATTGATTAACGGTCACTAAACACCACTCATTCATGTGAAACATAAATACAGGCAGTTACCTTTTAATAATTTAATTTGAGGCAATGAGTTAAATTTAGAAAAATGGGAACAAGGTAAAAAATAATTATTACCTTTCGGTTATGTGTTTCCCGCACCCAGCGCATTCTTGGTTCGTTGGGTTTGGTGTCGATGCAGTAGCTTTGCCACCCTGCGTTTTCACGTCCATCGTCATTTTTCCAACACCTGCAACAAAGATACCAAAACCAATCAGAAAAGCTTTACAATCTATAAGCAAGGTCAAATAACATTATATTTTGGGACGGCAAACAGGCTTCTTCAAGGATTCGGGAGTCGCCGGGGTAAACTTCTAACAATTAACCCAAGGAGACTTCCCTCGGTCTTTAACAATTCACCGCGTTCCACCCTCCGCTAAACGGGTGAGAAGGGGGTAGGAAAGGTAATTGCAGTTACGAATTATACGTATTAAGATTTAATTAGAGCTCAATGTTTAATACGTTTCGGGGAAAGCTCCTTATTAAATCTAAAGTGACCAGGTATGGGCTGGATCTTTACTCCGTGAATTATGAAGTTGAGGAGTTTCGGCCGAGATAGTTTAACAGTTTCTCTTTGTTAACATATTCCTCATGCCCTTTGGGAAACAGTTAAGATAAAGCAAGTTCAAACCCACTCAATTATTATTATTAATAATAAAACGAAAACCAACTAAGGGTTTTTGGTATACAAAAACAGTTCAAACTCTTTATTTCCTTAATTTTGTCTTCCTTCCAATCTTTGTACTTTATGAGTCATCTAACCAGCGAAGACAAGGTTTTCTTTAATTGCTTCTTCATTCGAAACGTTCTCTGTGGTATTAGTTGAATTAAATACCGATAACAGTTTTCACGCATAGTTACTCCTGGAGATGACAAAGTCATTACTGTTAAAATTACTATTTGTCACATGCAAATTTGCTCAGAGTAGTAATTAAAGAAAATTCCTTTCGTTTAAAAGAGATTGAGTCAGATACGGAATTCTCATTCGACATGTTGCTTCATTTACTGTTGTGCTTGACATTTCCCTTAACCTTTGCCGGAAAACTTCGTAAGTTTTTTCATTTTTTTCCTTTTTATTCATTTAAAATGTTATAAGAATTTAGTATTCGGAAATAGAAATAATAAAGGGATTTTTTATTTTTTCTTCCTCTTTCGTCTCTTGTACCGAACTTTGCTTATGGATTTCTAGGAAATTTCCATAAAAGCGTTTCTTTTATGGAGTAACGAATTTTCCTCAGGTTTATGGTATTATAATTTACGTGGGACAAGGAATTTCCTATTTTTTTAAGATAGTATTTAACCAATTAATTATTCTTTCTAAGGTTTTGGTTGAGATAAAAGTCAGTGTCACGAGCGGGATTCGAACCCACGACCTTCGGCTTGAAAAGGAACAAACGTTAACCTCTATACCATGGAAAGTGTTACCTTTGTGAAAGAGTCATATTTAACATCAGGTAGGGTTAATAGTTCTTATTTACCCGCAATTTTGACAGTTCTGGTATTCTGCAAGGAACCGTTTTAAGCCCAATCCTTTTTTATAGTTTATATAAACAGTTTGCTTAAAGTTGGTATTTCGCGTAAAATCTTCTGGACATGACACATATAATATTCTCTTGTAATAAGCTAGAAACTTTAAAAACTCGGAGAAAAATAAAGTATTGGTTAGATTATTTATGAATCAATACTAAAAAGCCTGGTCTGATTTGGTTTTCTAAACTTTTGGAAAAGTTCGGTGTCACGAGCGGGATTCGAACCTACGACCTTCGGCTTAATACGCCGCTGCTCTACCATTTGAGCTATCGTGACCTCGATCCACTCGGACACCATCTCAACCTACAACCGTTCGAATTTTCCCTCTTTTTGCCAATTTCAAACGTGTAATCGGACTTGATTCTCAGCGACTTACGGAGTGACCGCGGGGAGCTGTTTCGTGAAGTGATACTTCTTAGCTCAAGAGGTAGAGTAGCGACGTATTTAGCCGAAGGTCTTGGGTTCGAATCCCGCTCGTGACACTGACTTTTTTATCTCAACCAAAACCTTAGAAAGAACAACTTATTGATTGAAAGGAGTAAGTAAGTAAGAGTTTAAGGTGATATTTGCCAGTTAAAGTTTTAAATTCCTTTGTGTTCAGTACGATTTGCTCTTTCTCCCGTTGGATAGGTTTCTCCTTGTATATTCTGTGTTCTTTAATTACCCATGATTCCAGTTCTATTTTAATGAGGCTACAGTTTATGTATTCAGTATTAGAAGTTTCGACTATTTTTTCACTTATGAACTCTGGATCAAGGTATGTGTTGAAGAAGAAAGCGAATTCAGTTGCTACTGCCTATCTTTCGACCTATTTTAAGTCATCATCAGGGACCATTCCACATTATGAAAAACATAATTCAATACTTCTTTGGAAAAGTTAAGAAAGAGGTTTTAAAACACCAAAAGGTGTAGCGGGTTTAAAACAATTATAGTCTAAGAAAACTAAAATAGTACTCATTCAATTAATTAAGGTTTTAAGTTGAGATAAAAAAGTCAGTGTCACGAGAGGGATTCGAACCAACGACCTTCGGCTAGATACGCCGCTGCTCTACCACGTGGGCTATCGTGACTTCCATCCCCCCCCGGGCACTAACTTCCCATCTCAACCCCACCTTTTGAATTTTCCCTCCTTTTTGCCATTTTTCAAATGTCGTGTAATCGGATTGGATTTTCGGCGACAAATGAAATGACCACGGAGAGCTTTGGTGAAGTGTACTTTATTTCAATTCATTAAATTCACTATTCTTCGTAGTCCGCTTGACCAATGAATAACATTCAATTAATTAAGGTTTTAAGTTGAGATAAAAAATGGGAAATTTAACTAAAATTGTACATTCATTTTTGGTAATTCGAAACATGGAAATTCGAACTCCTCAGTAGGTCAGATCGCTAAATCGAAAAATTCCGGGCATTTTGATAAACTTGGAAATATGAAACATTTTTAAATATTTTTCCTAACAGGGGGAGAAAAAGCATTTGACCGAAATGGAGCCACTTCCCATTTTTATAATTTTGTTTTTTTGCACTTTTTCTTTGTTATATTCCTCTAAGTTCCCCCGCATTGTTTATTTCCTTACATTCTAAAATTTCTTCAAATTTTCTCTAGTTTGTCGTTCTGCGGTCGGTGTTTTGTCAATGTGTTCAACACTGGCCACATTGGAAAATCATTTGAATAAAGGACGCCAGGCCACATAGAAATATTAACCACTTCAATTTTTTTTCTCTTAATAATGCGTAGCGGGGGGGCATCGGTGGCCTCAAAGGTTTAGGCGTTGGCACGGCGCTCATCACTGTAAGGTAAAGGTCCCGGGTTCGAATCCAGCGGCCCTGCATTCGAACCCGACGTACTCACAAATGGACTTTTTTTCAAAAACAACGGCACGCCGAGTGTTGATATAAGCGAACCTACGTAAAAAAAAAAAAATAATGCGTTATTATGTTTAATTTTACAGTTGATGTATTTCCGCTTTTTCTTCATTTTTACTACGTTTTATATATGTACAATTTCAGCAATAACTTGGAAAATACATATCAACTCTTAACAATTTTTTTGTTCTTTCCTCTTGACAATTCCAACATCTTGATAATTCGAATTTAGTTTTGTGGTCCTTCGGGTTTCAAATGATCAAGAGTCGACTGTAACAAGAAAATAAAAACAAGCAACAAGTTAATAGCGCCAACCAAAATTTTAAAATATTGACTTGCTTTTTGTAAATCATTTGTAACAATGTGAATTGTGATTACCCTATAAGATCGAATTATGATATTTACAAAATTTATTTTCTTTATTTTCAAAGTTTTTAATTTTTCTATTTTATCGCAAAGCTGCTGGGACGGTGTTTTGCAAGAGGAAAGACCCAAATTTGAACAGCTGCCTTCAGGATGCCATACAGAAATCATTATCTCAATACTTATCTGGTAGGTTGTTAGCAAATTATAAAATATTTAATTATTAATAAAAATATATTCAATTAGGAGTGGCAGAGTTAGGTCTTGAGTCGATCGATCCACTAACCATAAACCATCTCGTTATCGATAAAAAGAAAGACAACGGTAATCCTGTTGATATCGATCTTTCTTGGTCAGATTTCACCATCACCGGAATAAAAAGCGCCGTGATAACAAGTGCAAAGTTAGTATTGCTTTCACTATGTAAAAATATATATTGAATTGAAAATTTCAGAGCAGATTGGGACAATGGGTTCGTCTCGTTTGAAGCGGAGATGACGGACCCTGTTGAAATAAAAGGCAATTACGCCATTGACGGCATTATTCTTATCATTCCGATCCACGGTCAAGGTGCTTTCGTCTGCAAACTGGAGAAGTTCAAGGCTCATATTAAAGTGCATGGAACCGAGATGGAAAAAGAAGGAAAGAAATATCTTCAAGTTGACCGTCTTGTTTTCACGTTCGACATTGGCCTTCTCACGCTGAATTACGAAAACCTTTTTAACGGGGACAAAGTTTTGGGTAAATATTGTTTTTAAATTAGTCCATATTTATATTTACTAGTCATAATTGAAAATATTTAAATGAATTATCATTTTATCAAAGGTCTTGGGTGAGGTGGAAAAGTCAGGGTCACGAGCGGGATTCGAACCCACGACTTCAACATGAACCACATAAGCTAGATGTGGCTATTTAGCCAAAGGTCGTGGGTTCGAATCCCGCCCGTTACACTGGCTTTTTCATCTCAACCAAGAACAATTAATCATGGTTTTAAGTTGAGATAAAAAAGTCAGTATCACGAGCGGGATTCGAACCACGACTTCAGTTCAACATGAACCACATAAGCTAGCTGTGGCTATTTAGCCAAAGGTCGTGGGTTGGAATCCCGCCCGTGACACTGGCTTTTTCATCTCAACCAAGAACAATTAATCAAGGTTTTAAGTTGAGATAAAAAAGTCAGTATCACGAGCGGGATTCGATCCACGACCTTCAGTTCAACATAACCACATAAGCTAGCTGTAGCTATTTAGCCAAAGGTCGTGGGTTCGAATCCCGCCTGTGACACTGGCTTTTTCCTTTCAACCAAGAACAATTAATCAAGGTTTTAAGTTGAGATTAAAAAATCAGTATCACGAGCGGGATTCGAACCACGACCTTCAGTTCAACATGAACTACATAAGCTAGCTGTGGCTATTTAGCCAAAAATCGTGGGTTTGAATCTCGCCCGTGACCCTGGCTTTTTCATCTCAACCAAGAACAATTAATCACTGTTTTAAGTTGAGATAAAAAAGTCAGTGTCACGAGCGGGATTCGAACCCACGACCTTCGGCTTGATACGCCGCTACTCTACCACTTAAGCTATCTTCGATCCCCTCGGGCACTAACTTCCCATCTCAACCACACCTTTTGAATTTTCCCTCCTTTTTGCCATTTTTTTAATTGGACAAGCGGACTACGAAAGATAGTGAATTCAACCAAGAACTTTGATGTAAAGTTGTTTTTAAATTTATTTGCATTTTAATGTCACCATTACGAACCAGCCTTGCAAAACAAAGCACAACATTACTCAAAACACACATTGTTTAAAAGGTTTAACATACCCAATTAATAAGGTCAAAAATATACAAAACTTTTAAAGAAAACGACTAAATACAAATTGTGACAATGAATATGTTGTAACATAGATCATAAATATGTACAGAACAAAACTATTACAAATTGTGAAGTTTCCTCTTGTGGTACGCGGGTGATAAACCTGTTTTTTATCATCTTTGTCTGCCAATCCTCGATGATATTTATGACGTTCCATCTTGAGTGATGTCTCGACAGAAGAGACCGAAGATGGCGAAATGCCGAAACGTGTTTGAAACAAACGAAAATCGGCAAAGTGAGGTAGCCCAAGATGGACCAAGGCAAAGAAAAAAATGACTAAGTAACACAACTATAGATACTATAATAAATACTTCCATGAAATTGTGGGAAAGAACAGCATCTCTTTTGTAAATATAATTTAATAACTCGGCAAAAACATAAACCGCCTAAAACTAAACATGTACCGATACATTGATGAATATACTCGTCAACAACATAAAACGCTTACAGACATGGACTCGTTCGTTACACAAATACATATAATTTACAGCAAAAGATAAAATATCAACGAAGTAAATTTCAAGCATCTAAAACTCAAGAACACTCTGGATCAAGGTACGCTCTTGAAGAAGAAAGCAAATTTCCCAAGTTTTCGACCTATTTTATGGTCATCATCAGGGCAAAACAATCTTAAATATGTCTACTGATTGACATATTTAAGTTTTTTACAGGCGATCTCAAATTTCCTTGAAAACCGACACAATCCCATCATTGCCAAGGATTGCAACAGTCAATCTGTAGACAGATTTAATATAGTTTTGCACTGAAGATGACTTTAAAATAGGTCGAAAGCTTGGTAGTCAAAACTGAATTTGTTTTCTTCTTCAAGACCTTGCCTTGATCCAGAGTGTTCGTGTGTGAAAAAGTTGATGTTTATAAAACTGAAAACTTACTAAAACTGACCACAAACTACAATCGAAAACAAACAGCGGCATCATAATGACAGATAGATTAAAAACAATACCACTGAAAAAATATTGCAAAAACGAACTAAAAGCAATACAAACCATAGCGCACAATAACCATTACAGCACACAAATAATTGATAAAATAAAACACAAATTCAAAACAAGTCACTAAATGGATCAAGATCACATCTATAGAAAAATACCTACAAACGAACAAATCTACGTAACTAATTAAGATAACAGTAGTGAGGTCCACGAACACAATGTCAAACTACTACATAAAAAAAGGTCGAAACGGATTCACATAAAAAATCCGGCATATACGTCCAAACATGCTACTGGTAGAACAAATACTTCATGCAAGATGACATCAAATAAAGACCCCAAAAAAAATCTGATGCTTAACCCTCAACCTTACAGACCAGGATGAAAGTAACACAATAAGTACAAAACGGGCAAAAATTTAACATACGGCAAGTGACAGTTACTTAATGATGTTTTGGAGGACGTGAGGTGCAGTCTGGTATGACGTAGGTTTTAGAAAAACATTTTCTTTATCGTGCCAACGTTTCGATCTTTATTGAGATCATCTTCAGTGCTCAAAGTATTTGTTTTCTGTGTACATGAGTTATCACCGTGACACATCTACACGGAAAACAAACACTTTGAGCCCTGAAGATGATCTCAATAAAGATCGAAACGTTGGCACGATAAAGAAAATGTTTTTCTAAACCCTACGTCACACCAGACCGCACCTCACGACCTCCAAAACACCATACGGAAAAACATGGAAATGAACAAACATAACATAACACTAAAACACTTTAAAAACCTTAATTAAAACCGTTTGGTTCAAAATAATATACTAATTATAAAGGAAAAGGACCAACGATCAGAAAAAATGAAAGGAAAAATAAAACAGACTTAATTCGCTAAAGGCACAGGCAAACATAGAACAAAAAAGCCACATCCTTCCATTTACAACTTTATAAAAGCCTAAACCGAATCACACTAAAAAGATGGTAAAAACTCCAAAATGCTCCTGCAAAACCCAGAGAGGAAAGGAGAACTAAAAGGACCGCAGTAGGGATCTCACGATTTATTTATTTTTATTGTTTTCTGTATGAACCGTATGAAACAAGTTATCTCATTTTGGGTGGTTATGCCTGGTCTGTCTGAAGAATTGGGCGTTTCACCTTCTTCCGGTGTTAGATCTGAATCCCAGATGACTCCCAGATCCCAGACCGAATAGGCGGCGGACCTTCCCAATTTTAATTCACATAGATAATCGATTATTAATCACAATGTTTATTTTTCTAGGCGATACGATGAACAAATTTCTGAACGAGAATTGGAAAGATATTCTGGACGAGATGAAAGTCAGCATAGAGACGAATTTTTCACAGCATTTCCAAACGATAGCAGAAAAGGTTTTTCACGAAGTGCCGATTGATGAAATTGCCCTACCATAAACATATGCATTAAAACTTATTAAATCTCAAAACTGTCAGTAGTTTGATTCAATTGTCAATCTGTATTAATTAAACTATTGCGAGAACTTATTTACATTTATTTTAGGCGTTCCACCAGTTTTTTTCGATTACAGTAGATATTCAATTTATATTTAAATAAATTAATTTCAATCATTTATATGCTACGATAATAGAAAAAAATTCCCAAAACATGAACATTTATCCGATTTGATCTTTATTCTTCAAGATTTTTCGCCTCTTCAGTCATGCTTTTTTAAAGGGTTCGCAACAGCAGAGGTCATATAAACCCTCAGGGTGCCGGTGTTTTTGAAAAAAAGCCCATTTGTAAGTATGTCGGGTTCGAATGCAGAGCCTCTGGATTCGTACCCGGGACCTTTACCTTACAGTGACCTTTACCGTGTCAAAGACTAAACCTTGCGGCCACCGACGCCCCTGCTATGCGTGATATTTGTAGGTAAGGATAAGGATGGACTAATAAGGACCTGATATATCTATCTTCTATTTTTTAGGTTTGGTTTTTAATCAACTTCCTTAACCAAAGGCTCTTTAGTGTAAGATCTTGCTTACCCTCTGCGTTATAATCCAAGAGGTACTGAAAATCACAGAAGAATGTAAAAGTGCAGGCTTAGGGATTAATCCAAACAAAACAACTATAGTCACTTTTACACGGAAAAGGAAGCTAGGTCACATGTAAGAAATCAAACTCAACAACACTGTGATAGAAATCAAAAATGAAGTCAAATATCTGGGCATCACACTAGATAAAACACTAACTTTTAAGAAACACATCAGCTCCATCATCACAAAGGCGACACGAGCTTTGATGGGTGCAGAAGAATAGCAGGGAGAAACTGGGGATGCAGGCCAGAAACCCTGTTATGGATGTACACCATAATAGTAAGACCTTTACTTACATAAGGAGCTATAGCCTGGGCTGATAAAGCGGAACAAATAACCAAAAGGAAAGAACTCTCAAAAATAGAGAGACTTGCATGCATCTGCTTAACGGTAGCAATGAGAACATGTTCTACAATTAGCAATGAAAAGATATTGGGTTTAATCCCCTACATCACATGGTAGAAAGGACAGCACAGAAAACCATAATCAACTTTATTAGAGAGAAACCTCCGACAGGAATAAAACTGAAATGGAGAGACAGAAACAAACTGTGGAAAAACCATCCATCACTCATGGCTCCAATGGACGACATGAACAATATGTTTGAATTTAACCAAAAATTCCTAATACATCTGGGCACCAGAAAGGAATGGGAAGGAAAGGGAAATAACTTCCTCAAAAATGGCACCATCCTTTGGTACACAGATGAATCTAGAACTCAAGAAGGTACGGGAGCAGAAGTATTTGGACCCCGGTACCAATTACTCAGAACCCGTGGGAAAGCACACCAGTATCTTCCAAGCTGAGATTCACGCAATTGAAAGATGTATCCAATTCAATCTAAGTAAAGGATACAAAAACAAGAATATAGCTACCATGTCAGATAGCCAAGCAGCCATCAAAGCACTAAGCTCAAATACTATTAGTTCAAGGATGGTGCTGAACTGCAAAACCAAACTAAATATATTAGGTATGCAGAATAAAGTCAGCCTCTGCTGGGTCCCAGGACACATGGGAGTAGAAGGCAACGAGAAAGCGGACACCCTTGCAAGGAAAGAGCTGCTACACCGCTGATAGGACCCGAACCCTTCTTGGCATAGGAATCCACACTATTAACGAATATCTCAGACAGAAGGACAAAAAGAAAATGAGGGAACTTTGGAATTCACTCATTGGACATAGACAATCCAAGAATCTTATAACCAATTTTGATAGGAAAGAAATCACAGAATGTGTCAAAGGAAGCAGGAACAGACTGCGAATCCTAACAGGACACTGTAGATTAAATGGACACCTAAAGAAAATTGGAACAATCCAAGATGGCACATGTAGATTCTGCAAGGAAGCAGAAGAGATACCAACACACTTACTAACAAACTGCGGAGCTACATTAGCCCGCAGGAGGAAATGTTTTGGGATGTACAATTTGACCATAGAAGAGCATCAACCATTAAAATCGGGCCTATTAATCAAGTTTCTTGATGAAATAGGACTCACCGATGTGCTTTAGGCAGAGGCCTCAGAGACCATACCCTGTAATATTACATCTACATCTACATCTTCAAGATCTTGCTTGCTGCATTTCCTATCCTAGTTGAAAGAATCTCCACATAGATCCTCACATTAACATGAAACCTGTTCTGCGGACTCCATTTTTGTGGCAGATCCGCACAGAGGTGCTCTCCTATCCGTTCATGCGCCTTTATAGGAATCAACCAGAATCGTGGTTCTGTTGTGGTTACCCTTCAGTAATTAGGTAAGTCTTGGTGATGGCCCTTTCATGAATCGCATGACACATGCCTCGGATATTGTTCCACCAGGTTAGCCTCATTAGATACTTTTTTTGTACGTATGATTTATTGTGGACACAATAAATTTTGGGCCTAGTGAATTCATATTGGCTCTTTTTTTGGTCAACATATCCACCCTTTCATTGCCTCTATGTCCCAAAATTATACCAATCGACTAGAACGTAACATTTTCATTTGTTCTATTTTTAATATTTCCTGGCACAATAGTGAGAAACAGTTTAAAAAAATTGGGCAAGTAAATAAGCGAAAAGACGCGCCTTATTAAAAAAAAAATCGATCTTGCCAACAATAAAAGAAAAAAAGGCATAATATTGGCAACCTACAAAGAGGTAAAGAAAAGTTTTGCAAACAATATCATAACAACTAGACAATTTTAAAAAATATAAAGACAAACATGACATTGTTCCTTGCGCCAACACAAGTGGGAGAATAATTAACAATTAATTGAAACCTATTTAAAAAAAATCTGCGCATTTTCCCAGATACGTGGGAGGTAAGGACGACGAGGTAATTAACAGTTTTAATAGCCATCTTGCTATTTTAAATACAGGGCAATCAGCTACTAATGTTACAAATTTTGGCAATAGATTCTCCATGCAAACTGGAACCAAAAAGTCCTAATTAACTATGGTCCGAATTTCAACGGAGATATTCTACTTATTCTGATTTTTTAAGATTTTGCGATCTTGGTTCAAATAAACAATGATAACTTCAAAACTAAATAGTTTTGGACAAATATGGTAATACCATTGAAATCTACGTTAAATTTTCAGTAAGATATGATCAATAATAACCTTTTAAACCTTGGTTTTAGTAAGTTGTTTTCGTACGTTGACAAACTTACTGTGATGATTATAAACTACTATTTCCAACCCTAGACACCAGCAAATTTTAGAAAACTCCATTTTAAATCCTTTTTAGTGTAGTAATTGCTTTTTTAATTACTTTTTTCAAAGATGAAGAAATAGATAAAGGAAAGGAAAACACCGTGGTTGACGGATTGGTAGGGTGGAAAGATTAAAAATTAAACTTAGGTTTCTTGGTCCGATTAACCAAATAAATTCTTTTCTCTTAATTAATCTTTAAGTAAGGTATTGGTTGACGTAAAAAAGTCAGAGCGGGATTCGTACCCACGACCTTCGCCCCATTGAATTTAGCGAAATATTGAAAACTTCCCTTGAAAAATGGCGAAAAGGAGGGAAAATTCAAAAGCTGTGTTGAGACGGGAAGTGTCCGAGTGGATGGAGGTCACGATAGCTCAAGTGGTAGAGGAGCGGTGTATCTAGCCGAAGATCGTGGGTTCGAATCCCGCTCGTGACACTGACTTTTTTATCTCAACCAATACTTTACTTAAAGATTAATTAATTGAAAACTTAAGGATATTTTGAACGAATTTATTAAGCGTTTTTTTAAATTTTATTTAGGTTACAAACCGAAATAATAAAAGTGTTTACGTATTTACCAAGACAACTTTAATTAAAGAATAATTGTATTATTATTCTTCGGAATAAAAGAGTCTTAAGATTCATAAAGTTTTATAAATGCATTGAAAATTAACTTAAGTTTTTTAAATTTTTTGTTATTATTATTAATATATTATTAACCATAGTTAATTAGGACCTTTTGGATCCATTTTTAATGTAGAATCTACAGCCAAAGTTTGTACAACACGAGTGGACGAACCCTCTGTATATTTCAATTAATTGAGGTTTTTAGTTGAGATAAAAAAGTCAGTGTCACGAGCGGGTTTCGAACCCACGATCTTCGGCTAGATACGCCGCTACCACTTAAGCCGAATCAATCGAGAATGAAATAGATTACACGACAATTGAAAAATGGCAAAAAGAAGATAAAATTTAAAATAGGGTTGAAATGGGCAGTTAGTGTCCGAGAGGATCGAGGTCACGATGGTCCAAGTGGTAGAGCTGCGGCGTATCAAGCCGAAGGTCGTGGGTTCGAATCCCGCTCGTGACACTGACTTTTTTATCTCAACTAAAAACCTTAATTAATTGAAAGATATTAATTGGTCAAGCGGACCACGAAAACTAGAGAATTTAACTCTGTATATAATTATTTGGAGATGGTGAGGTGGGGTCTGGTGTGACATAGGTTTTAGAAAAACATTTTCTTTATCATGCCAACGTTTCGATCTTTATTAAGATCATCTTCAGGGCTCAAAGTGTTTGTTTTCTGTGTAGATGTGTTATCATTTATGTCTCGTTGAGAGTGCACGAGACTCACAAGACACATGCACACGGAAAACAAACACTGCCCTGAAGATGATCTCAATAAAGTTCGAAACGTTGGATGATAAAGAAAATGTTTTTCTAAAACCTACGTCACACCAGACCGCATCTCACTATCTCCAAATAATCATTGGCTAACGGTCACTAAACACCACACACTATATTTATAGTTACCAAATGTGGTAAAGAGGGGACAGACTGTCCCGAAATATACACAAAAAGTAAAATCAAGTTGTTTGATATTCTGACAAAAATAAACCCACATATGTTAAAACTTTACTTGTAATATTGTATCATATAACCACCACACAAGATCCTGTCTGCCAGACTAATGACATAAACTGCTTCTAGTATTGTTTTCGCGGAATATGTCTATAGAATTTAATGAAA